TTTTTTTTTTTTTTTCAAAAATTTATCGACATAGAATGACAGTTTCGGAAAGGGACCTGCGACAGTCTAAGGGTTAAGAACACCAACCATTCCGAAATTATCTCCATCAACTTTCAGCATCTTAGTGTTAATGCCTTCCAATCTGTCTACTTCCACACCAACATCCTGTATACCCTTTACTTATTCTTTCCTCCTAATTAAACATACTTCTTCCTTCTTTGTGCACAAAATGACTGCCTTTCACCTGTATTTTCAGTAGCTCTTTAAGATATTTTCATCTCTACCTTCACCTCCCAATCTAAAAATCTTGCAACTTAAACTGCAAATCGCATTTGGTTTTCCAAGCTTTCTCACCTTGCTTATTTCCAAACTTTTTTATTTGCTGCAAAATTGACTCCTATTCTCTTATTGGCTTCCTCAGTGTACTCTGTATAATTTTTGTTGTGAAAAACCTATAGCATACTGCATTTTGCCTTATCACCATCATTTTATCTCAGTTCACCAGTCTCTCCTTTTTTCTTCTGTGCCCACCTTCCTATAACTGCAACTTCTGCTGTACACATTAACATTACATTTTTAAATTCATGCTATACCTTCTTGACCTCTTCATCATATCGTCTTGCTGCAAATACAGTAAATGCTAGATTTAATGGACTAATAAGGAGTGAGTGGATGGCTGGTAAGGAGGATTGTGGTGGATGGAGATAAGAGTTTGCTGTGATAGTAACAATTATGAACATTTCTGTAACCAGCATTTTTTGAATCAGTTGATCCACCAGATTTTATCCTTTATTTTGAAAAGTCCATTACATCATATGTTTACTGTAATATATTTACTAATTTATTGCTAGCTTATCAGGCATGAGCCTATAATGTTATTCAAGTAAGCAGAACTGTTTAAAATACTGTAGACTTTTAAATTTTAACTTAATATTTATAGATATGTGAATTAACATGGGATACAATATTTTTATTTTGCAACCTAATATAATCTTTCTAAGGTTGGGTAATTCAATTATAGCTCAAGCCTACCCAGCCTGTCTAAGGTAAGACTGATTTCATTTTGTATTTGATAGTGCTGGAAACTGTTAATTTAATTTTTTTTTTTAAGTTGCTATAGGTACACTATACTTGTAACAAAACTTTGTCAATATTGTGAAATGTATTTATTACTGTACTTCTTTGTTGCAGTATCAAGTGGCACAGCTGTATAGTGTAGCTGAGGCCAGTAAAAATGAAACTGGAGGTGGGGAAGGAGTAGAGGTTCTTAAGAATGAACCTTTTGAAAACTATCCACTCTTAGGTAATAGATTCAGTAGTGGCCAGTACACCTACAAAATTTACCATCTTAAAAGGTAAATAACTTAAATAATTTAATCACTACTTAGATTTTTCTAATATTGTGGTGTCATAATGTCCATGTCCTAAGGCCAGATATTGTGGCTAGATGTAATACAAGTTTGCGTCTGATACAGTCCAAGACAAATTGTATAATTTCCTCTACTTTTACACCTCTCTTACTTGTACAGTGGAACCCCGAGTTTCATCCTTAACCCTTTGACTGTCGCGGCCGTATATATACGTCTTACGAGGTACCGTGTTTGACGTATATATACTCATAAATTCTAGCGGCTTCAAATCAAGCAGGAGAAAGCTGGTAGGCCCACATGTGAGAGAATGGGTCTGTGTGGTCAGTGTGCACCATATAAAAAAAATCCTGGAGCATGCAGTGCATAATGAGAAAAAAAACTCCGACTGTTTTTTTTAATTAAAATGCCGACTTTGTGGTCTATTTTCATATAGTATTTATGGTTGTATTCTCGTTTTCTTGGTCTCATTTGATAGAATGGAAAACATATTATAGAAATAGAGGTGATTTTGATTGATTTTACTATAAAAAGAACCTAGAAATGGAGCTCAAAGTAGGGGAAATGTTTGATTTTTGCCAATGTTCAAGAGTAAACAAATGATGCCATTGTCCAATAAATGTCCAACTAGCCATTCTGATATGCAGTCATGAATGGGTTGATGTTATTTAAACAATTATTACAGTAGTCTGCATAATAGTAAGTCTTCTATTTTTTGTTTGGAATAAAAATTCAAAATAGAAAGCAAGAGTAATATCAGAGGGGCCTGGAGACATGACTGATGAGCAAAGAAAATGTTATTTTAGAGCCAGGAATGTCTGCATTGTTCATTCTGGACCTTATTTTGAAATTGTCATATTTTTTAGTTTTCGTGAAATTGGCCAAATTGCAAATTTCTGACCACATTATTAGGTAGTTGAAATCGGTAAATGGGCAGTTTCGTGTACTCAGTCGATAGAAAAAATGGAGTTCTAAAGAAATAGCTATGAGTTTGGGCGACTGGAACAATGGAATTAGCCGAAAATAGGGCTCAAAGTGGGCGAAATCGCCGATTTGTAAACAGCGCCGAGGTCGCTAACTTCGCGAGAGCATAATTCCGTCAGTTTTCCATCAAATTTCGTTTTTTTTTTGGTGTCATTACAATCGGGAAAAGATTCTCTATCATTTCATAAGAAAAAATATTTTTTTTTTTTTAAATTTTGCGACACCAGGAGACACCTCAGGATTGGGGGTTGCAACAGTCAAAGGGTTAATCCATTCCAGGAGCTAGGACTAAAGTCGAAAGGTCCTAAAGTCAAAGCAATATTTCCCATAAGAAATAATACAAATCCAATTAATCCGTTCCTGCTGTCAGGAAGCATGACAAAATAGTACTTCAGTATGACACTATTATCAACTCTATGGCTTATTTATCTATTACATTTCTTCTGATATGACATAAACAATATAAATAACATAAAAACCTGATATACACTCTAGAATGAATAAAATATGTATGTCATTACGTATGTGGTGATTGGGGAGGACAGTGGTTCTCCCTTCAGACGTGTTAGTATAAGAGAAAATGGAGTTTGTAAGGCAAACTGCATTAGATCACTTCTTTGATAAGAAAATCATAATGTACAAATGAACTGGTGTATGTACACTATTTACATACCTTGCAGAAGACAGGCAGAGCGGCTTATGCTGTCAGGAGTTTATTTCATTTTGTCTTTTTTCTATTGCTTAATCGCTTAATTGCTACACTCTTAATGCTACTCTGTCACTGAACTTAACTGCTTTAAACTCCACAACTTGTGCCTGTGCTGGTGTGCAGGAACACACTAAAATCTCTAAGAGTGTGTTGTTAGTCTTGAAGATGCCATATTAATAATAATAACATAAATATGAGATGTTTTTCCAGTCGGCTTGATGGAGTGAACATAAACCATTCGTATCTGGACTGCTAACAACAACAACAACAACAACAACAACTGGTTTGTTTATAAAACTCGGCGAACCTTCTTCACTCTCATGTACTCATCTTTTTTACTCACCTCTCACTCTACATTAAGATTACAAATATTTTAAGGTAAGTAATGAGTGTACTGTACAGTGGACCCCCGCCTTATGAACGCATCGTGTTATGTTAAATCCGCTGTACGAAGCATTTGAACGCAAAAATTTTTCCTCACCTCACAATAAAAAATTCGCCTTGCGTGATTCATCCGGGATGCGTCCCACGTGTGGCCTCAGCACCAGTGTTTACAAGCCAGCCAGTGCGGTCGCATCTACGCATACATTCGGTACATTTCACATTATCCCAGTGTTTTTAGTGCTTGTAACTGCAAAAGTCACCACGGACCCCAAGAAAGCTTCTAGTGCCATCCCTGTGGTAAAAAGGGTGAGAATTAGTATGGAATTAAAAAAAAAGAGATTAAGGAAATGTGTGCAAAGTGGGTTGAACTGCAAACCTTTACGGATGAAAATCACCCTGACACAGCTACTGCAAGCCGTGTTGGCAACCTGTACAATGACAATGTTATGGCCCATTTTAGGGAAGTCTTAAAGGAACGGGAGGTACAGAGCTCTGTGGACAGATTTGTTGTGCGACAGAGGTCCAGTGACTCAAGCTGGTCCTAGTGGCATTAAAAGAAGGGAAGTAACCCTGGAAAAGGACTTGCTACCTCAAGTCCTAATGGAAGGGGATTCCCCTTCTAAACAATAACTTCCACACTCTCCTCTCCTCCCATCCCATCAATCACCACCAGATCTTCAGTAAAGGTAAGTGTCATGTATTCTGTTCTTAGTAGAGTCGTCTTCAGTTTGTGTGTATTAAAATTAATATTTCATGCGGTAAAAATTTTTTTTTTTTCATGCTTTGGGGTGTCAGGAACGGATTAATTTGATTTCCATTATTTCTTATGGGGAAAATTAATTCAGCTAACGATAATTTTGGCTTACGATGAGCTCTCAGGAACGGATTAATATCGTAAGGTGGGGGTCCACTGTATATGCATTTTATCGTTCTAGGGCACTTTAAAAGCCTAGTATATAATGTAATGTTCACTTGAGAAACAAAGCCAGACTGATTCATGACCGCTGCGCGGGGAGGCACGCAGGTGCAGGCAGGCGGACAGATTTGGTATGCGTGACGAAACATGGGGCACAGTGCGAAACCCGGGACAAAATTTAGCCGAAAAAACAAGTTCTAAACTCTAAGCATATGATACTCAGGGCGGACGAAACTCGGGACTGCACTGTATAATCATGTACTCATTTTCCATTATATTTTTAGTCTCCTCAGTATTGTAAACATTTCTTCACCACTGATTGCCTTTCTGTACCACACATATTTTCCCAATCTAAAATCTTTTTGGTGTTTTTATTTCCAGCTTAAAGTATAAAACATTTTTTCAAAATACACTGCTCATATCTTATTGCTACATAATGCATCATTTATTTCATGCACACACAAGCAGTCACAAGTACAAACAAGTACAGTGGACCCTCGACCAACGATGGCATCGATTAACGATAAATCCGACCAGCGATAAATTTTACGCAAAAATTTTGCCTCGACTAGCGCTTAAAAACTTGACCAACACTATTCGTTCCGTCTGAGACGCGTCCACTTCTGGCCAGTGTTTACAAGCCAGCCAGCCACCGCGGTCACTTCCAAGCATACAATCGGAACATTTCATATTATCACAGCCTTTTTAGTGATTGCACCTGCAAAATAAGTCACCATGGGCCCCAAGAAAGCTTCTAGTGCCAACCCTACAGCAAAAAGGGTGAGAATTACTATGGATATGAAGAAAGAGATCATTGCTAAGCATGAAAGTGGAGTGTCTCCGAGCTGGCCAGGTTGTACACAAAACCCCAATCAACCATCGCTACTACGTATTGTGGCCAAGAAAACGGCAGTCAAGGAAGCTGTTCTTGCCAAAGGTGCAACTATGTTTTCGAAGCTGAGATCGCAAGTGATAGAAGATGTTGAGAGACTGTTATTGGTGTGGATAAACGAAAAACAGATAGCAGGAGATAGCATCTCTCAAGTGATCATATGTGAAAAGGCTAGGAAGTTGCATGAGGATTTAATTAGAAAAATGCCAGCAACTAGTGGTGATGTGAGTGAATTTAAGGCCAGCAAAGGTTGGTTTGAGAGATATAAGAATCGTAGTGGCATACATAGTGTGATAAGGCATGGTGAGGCTGCCAGTTTGGACCAAAAAGCAGCTGAAAAATATGTGCAGGAATTCAAGGAGTACATAGACAGTGAAGAATTGAAACCTGAACAAGTGTTTAATTGTGACACTGACAATGTTGTGAAACACTTTAGGAATGTCATAAGGGAACGGGAGGTACAGGCCTCTATGGACAGATATATTGTGCGACAGAGGTCCAGTGACTCTCAAGCTGGTCCTAGTGGCATTAAAAGAAGAAGGGAAGTAACCCCGAAAAAGGACTTGCCACCTCAAGTCCTAATGGAAGGGGATTCCCCTTCTAAACACTAGCACCATCAACACTCTCCCCTCCTCCCATCCCATCAATCATCACCAGATCTTCAATAAAGGTAAGGGTCATGTAACTGTGCATGTCTTCTTCAGTTTGTGTGTATTAAAATTAATATTTCATGTAAATTTTTTTTTTCAATACTTTTGAGTGTCTTGCACGGATTAATTTGATTTCCATTATTTCTTATGGGGAAAATTAACTCGACTAACGATAATTTCGATTAACGATGAGCTCTCAGGAACGGATTAATATCGGTGGTCGAGGGTCCACTGTACTCTACCACTTACAGCCATGCACAACCACCATAACCACCACTGTACAACTCATTTTGAAAAGCCCCTAGTTATGCAGAACATTTCGGACAGGCTAAAACTAGAACTTTAACCCTTTAACTGTTTGTCGTATATATACGTCTTACGAGCCAGTGTGTTTGATGTATATGTGCACTCAAAAATTCTAGTGGCTTCAAATCAAGCAGGAGAAAGCTGGTAGGCCCACATGTGAGAGAATGGGTCTGTGTGGTCAGTATAAAAGAATCCTCCAGCAAGCAGTACATAAAGAAAAAACTCTGACCATGTCTTTGGATTAAAATGCCGACATTGGGGTGTATTTTCTTAGTTTTTATGGTTATATTCTCTTTTTTGTAGTCACATCTGATAGAATGGAAAACATATTATAGAAATGGAGGTGATTTTGATTGGTTTTTACTATGAAAAGGACCTCGAAATGGAGCTCAAAGTAGGGGAAATGTTTGATTTTTGCCGATGTTCAAGAGTAAACAAATAACGTCATTGTGCAATAAATGTCCAACTGGCCATTCTAATATGCAGTCATGAATGGGTTGGCATTATTTATATAATTACAATATTGCAGTAGTCTGCATAACAGTAAATCTTCTATTTTTTGTTTGAATAAAAATTCAAAATAGAAAGCAAGAGTAATATCAGAGGGGCCTGGAGATGTGACTGATGAACAAAGAAGCTATTATTTTAGAGCCAGGAAATGTCTTCGTTGTTCATTCTGGACCCTATTTTGAAATCGCCATATTTTTTAATTTGCATGAAATTGGCCAAATTGCCAATTTCTGACCACTTTATTGGGTAGTTGAAATTGGTAAATGGGCAGTTTCTTGTACTCATTCGATAAAACAAATGGAGTTCTAAAGAAATAGCTATGAATTTGGTTGACTGGAACAGTGGAATTAGCTGAAAATAGGGCTCAAAGTGGGCGAAATTGCTAATTCATAAATATCACCAAGGTCACTAACTTTGCGAGAGCGTAATTCCGTAAGTTTTCTATCAAATTTCATACTTTTGGTGTCATTACCATCGGGAAAAGATTCTCTATCATTTCATAAGAATTTTCCAAATATTTTTCGACGCCAGGAGACACCTCAGGATTTGGGGTTGCAACAGCCAAAGGGTTAAACTACTTTGTTGTATGACTGAAGATGTGTAGATTCTTTGAATGCTTGTTTTAATATAATTGTCTGAAGATAAGATCTAATAATTTAAGTAACAAAACTTTTTATATTAAAATGGTAATTGAGAGAGAATAGTATTAAAGGTATTTTGGCAATTTCAGTATAATTTCTGGGAGATAGGAATTTGGTGGTGACTGTAGGCACTAGTATGAATTAGGATTGAAATCCAGATAAGCAGTTTGCATTAGCTGTATATTGTATTTGACATTTATATTTGATCTATGTAAATTGACATCAAATTCATGAGTTTATTCACTATTTGTGTGAAGCAGTTGGCAGATGTGGAACTCTCTTTAATTATCTGGTAGAGTTCCTGAAGGAAGGGAGGAGATATTTGCAGTTTTAAACTGTAATATCGGTGCCCATGTGGCAAGACAGTGATGGTGAAAGTGTTTCTTCTTTATTTTAGGTCACCCTGCCTATGTGGGCAGAGGCCGTTTTTTTTTTTTGTTTGTTTTTTTTTTGACGCGGCCATTTCCCACTGAGGCAGGGTGATCTAAAAAGAAAGAAAAAAACTTTCATCTTTCAACACTTTCACCATCACTCATACATAATCACTGTCTTTGCAGAGGCACTCAGATATGACAGTTTAGATATCCCAAACCCCTTCTTTACAGTGCAGGCATTGTACTTGCCATTTCCAAGACTCGTGTCCAGCTAACTGGTTTCCCTGAATCCCTTCACAAAATATTACCCTGCTCACACTCCAACAGCGTGTCAGGTCCCAAAAACCATTCATCTCCATTCACTCCTATCTAACATGCTCATGCACACTTGCTGGAAGTCCAAGCCCCTTGCCCACAAAACCTTTACCCCCTACCTCAAACCTTTTCAGGGACGACCCCTACACCGTCTTCCTTCCCCTGCAGATTTATACGTTCTCCAAGTCATTCTGTTCTGTTCCATTTTCTCTAAATGACCAAATCACTTCAACAGCCCCTCTTCATCCCTTTTGACTAATACTTTCAGCAACTCCATACATTCTAATTTCCACACTGTGAATTCTCTGCATAATATTTACACCACATATTGCCCTTAGACAGGACATCTCCACTGTCTCCAGCCTCCTCCTCGCTGCAGCATTTACAACCCATGCTTCACACTCGTATAAGAGTGTTGGTACCACTATACTCTCGTACATTCCCTTCTTTGCCTCCAGGGATAGCGTTTTTTGTCTCCACAGATACGTCAATGCACCACTCACCCTTTTTCCTTCATCAGTTCTATGGTTAACCTCATCTTTCATAAACCCATTTGCTGACAAGTCAACTCCCAAATATCTGAAAACATTCACTTCTTCCATACATATATATAATGAGGATGTGATACCATTCATGGGAGTGCTAAACTCACAGGAGTCATAGATGTTTGTTCTGCAGGGATTTTTTTATGTAGGGGAAGGAAAGGTGAAAGGGAGGGAGGGAAGGTAGGAGGGAGAGAATGTGAGAGAGGAGGGGAGGTAAGGGGAGAAGGGAAGAAAGGATAGATGGATGGATGGAATGATCCTGAAAAAATGAATAAGGAAGAGGTAGATTTGAAGAATGAAAAGATGTAAGGAGGGGTAGGGATGGCTGGATGGAAGGAATGTGTATGAGGTGTATTCAGGGCCAGATTAAGAAGTCTCCGGGCCCTAGGCTATTCAGATTGGCGGGGCCCCTTTGAGTTACGGGTAAGCGAAGCGACCCCTTCCAGCTTGGGGTGGGGGGGGGGTCGGTGTGAGCCTGTTTAATCCTGTAACCCTATCAGGTACCTCCCTTAACATTTAAAGGCAAAAACAAACATTTATCCATACACATCAGTGTCTATCAACAACACTTCAGTTAATTTGTCACAGTACAAGTCTAGATAACGTGTAATTACTGCAGAAAATTGGAGAGGAATCTCCCATACTCACCCATTAGCGGGAAAACACAGCTGTTTTGATGTAAACAAAGGCGTGTTGAGTGTTGCCATCTATGGTTAGGTTTATTTATTTTTATTTTATTTTATTTCATTATTTATTTTTGTTTTGATTAATTTTTAAAAATCAATTTTGCTTTCCAAACACTTGAACATTTTAGGTAGGGACCCCTTTGCACTTGCACCATGTGCGCAGTCTTGGATGAGCAACTGAACCCCTTGGACCGCGGGGCCCTAGGCAAATGCCTAGTTTGCCTATGCGGTAATCCGGCCCTGGGTGTATTACCCTATTCTTGCAACTGTTCAGTTTTTCCAACATCTTTTTAAAAATAATTAAATTCCAAAGAAACATTAATTTGCATTGGGTTTGTACCATAAATTGTTAATTTTATTCCCCAGTAAGGTTCCAGCATTTATTCGACTTCTGGCACCAGAGGGATCGCTAGAGGTCCATGAAGAAGCTTGGAATGCATACCCCTACTGTAGAACCATTATTTCGGTAAGTGAATGCACTCTGCAGCCTTCTTCAGGAAATTGTTGGCTTTTATTGCTTGGTTTATTTCTTTTGTGTGCCTAATATTATTTTAGATGATGAAGAGCAGCTAACCTCACATGATCCATTCCCTATATAAACCTATATTTTCTCAAGCCTCATGTTTAGAATAAACAAGGTCTCAGGACTGAAACATTTCCATAATGGAATTTCCAAAGTGTTTGCTTGTGTTTTTAACCACAAAGCATTTTCGTGATAGTGAAATGTATGAATTCTCTTTTGTAGTTATAAGAACAGAACTTTACTTATAGCATACCATCTATAGTTTATTTTACCACTTAATTTTTAAAGGTTCCAGTAGTTCTACTATTATCTGTTGAAGCCCAGTCCAGCAATCTTCTTGTTTAGGTAGAAATGGTACATCCTAAAGCCCTATTTAAAGTGCTTCATTGAATGTACATTAGTATGATGATCATATGGTGAAGTGGATTCTTCCTTCTAATTTTTTGTTAATACACATTTAAGAGATTAGGGTTGGAAACATTATGTAAGAAATGAAGCAGTATAGAGAATGTGAACAGTTTACTTTCTTGAAAGTGATGTAATTTTATTCGTTAAAAATCTAGTGGTTATTCAACTTTTTTCTACATAGCACAATGAACAAGCTCATTCAGTAAAAGAAATTGTCAGTTAATTGAAGACTAAATACAAGTGTGTGTGTGTGTGGCTTTGTAGAAACCCTTCTTTAATATTATTTTTACTTCAGTGTGTACCTCGGGAAAACAGTAATGACAAATGAGCTATGGGTCTTTTCTCTCTCTCTCTCTCTCTCTCTCTCTCTCTCTCTCTCTCTCTCTCTCTCTCTCTCTCTCTTGCGCCACAAATTTTCTCGTTTGGTTTTATTAAACAGTTAAATTAAAGAGTACAGTTTTTGTGTTATACTGCATTACCAAGACATAAATGATTGTGTAAAGCTTTATGTAATTGCCTGTTTGTCATTACAGGTGCCAGGCCAAGCCTATGATATCCAAACTTCAGTTTTTACTTTAGTGTACTTAGTTTTGAGCAGTTTTGACATATTCTAATGTACCACCACCTATAATATACAATATTCCAGTAATTGATTACTTTATTTGTGAAGAATTTTATAGTATCCTTTCAGGTTTACTTGTTTCTTCATTTACAATTGTAACCTCCTGTTCTTTTGTTGGTGCTTTAAACAATTTGTTCTTTTACGATCTTATGTGGGATTATCATATCTCCTTTTTCCCTCCTGTTAACTACTGAGGGACTTTTCTAGACATATGCTTACTTGGCTCTATTTTCTTTTAATTTTATTATTACATATTATCAGTAGGAGCTTATTCACATTTTGATTGGTTATTTCAGTGGATATCACTTTATCTTTCACATTTAATTTGCTTTTCTAGAAATTTGAAGAAGCAACTTGGTTCAACCTGTCTCTTGTTTTCCATTTTTGTGCCACACTGTATGTATAAATAGACATGTGTCCCTTGCTTTGTGATAGATGCTCCCCAGGCCCATGGAATCAAAATGCCCTCAATTTTAATTTTCTGTTTGTCATCCAAGTCTGAATATCTAGTGAAAGCTATCTAAAGCAGTTTTGCATCTTCCATATTTGGAACCTAGATGTAGGCTTGTGTATCATCAGCTGAAAAATGTTAATCAACCCCATGATCATCCAACAATAAAGCTAAGCCACTAAAATAAACAGTAAAAAATATCATTCCAAGAAAATCATTAATACTTGCCAAGCTGTTGACATAAAATTTATCATAAAATAAGCTTATTTTTCATATTTTTAAAACTGTATGGTGTTAGGGTAGTGTAAAAAGGTACTCCATTGTCAACATGTTCAAACATTAGAAACACTGGCACCCCCAAAAAAGTCCAGGGTTATAATCTACAAGGTTTAATTACATGAATAGTTCATCAGTAGTCAATTGGTAATGGAACTTCATATTTGCAGGTTACTTTTCACATTCTCTTAGTGAAGTAAAGTTGCTAAAACTAGCAGTTACCTTTCAGAATCCAGGTTATATGAAGGAAGGATTTTACATCTCAATAGAAACCCTTCATGCCCCAGGGGATGGTGAAATGGAGAACGTGAGTGGTGCCGTTCCTGAGTAGCAGCATGTTGAGCCTCAGCGTGATCTTTTCTGGCCAACCCGCAAACCACCTTTCTTATGCTTTATATGGATCCAGTTAACCAGGGATATAGTACCGTACATAGAACAGAATTCTCATCCTAATACTGTATTACATCTGGTTGCTTTTCTCATTTTCCAAGCACTTGAGCATAGACATAAACACATGTATATGATATTCTGCTGGTGTGGGAGAGGTGACCACCTAGCAACTTAGTGAGGAAGCTGCCTCTCTAGCAGCCTTGTTGGGATAATAGTAAAGGTCAGCCATCACTAATCTGGCAATCAGTTCTGTGGCTCCATCGGTAATCCGGCACTAATTTCGGCTAGCATAATTGCATATTTCATCATCATACTGACTCAGAAGTTGTGCAGATGGTTGTAAATCCGCAGTAGCAAGCCAGTGGAGGAGAAAGCAGTGATGAAAATGAGGAAGATGTAGCAGAGAGAGTCTCTGTTGATAGGTTAAATAAGTGTATTCTAACCTAACCACTCTGTAACCTGGCAAACTCTCTAATCCGGCACACTACAGGTCCCAATGATGCCGGATTAGTGATGGCTGACCTGTACCTGTCTGGAAGCCTGGTTGGAAAAGAATATTCATCTGTTCTTTCCAGAATTTCTGGTAATGTTCTACCATATATAAAATAACTAGATTAACAAAGAAAAATGACAAATTTCTGTGGGACTTGCTTACTGGCAACACATTTAATATAATATTAAATGTTTACATTGACCATCCTTTCAAAAATGATAATGGCTTTGAAACCATTCTTTTTTGATTGAAATAAGGGAATACTTGGCCAGGCTAATGTCATTGGAAAAGGGGCCCATGCCCCTCTGCAACATGTATTGGTCAACTTTATCACATTGTCCAAAGTGACTACCAAGGTCCAGTGGGTTCAATTACTGTACATGAATGCAGTATATCAACACTTGAAAACACACACACACATTATAAAATATTCTTACAATTAAACTTTAAATGCTTGTAATTTACTGTTGTATGAGTAAATGGTCCTTTTCCTGGTTAACTTGTCCATAGATATTTAAATGCTTGAATATTTTTGGATGACACATTTCTTATTAATATAGTATTTCCACTGCACTAACGTGTAGATTACAGTTCGCATCCTGGAGTGATCACTTATATCTGTTAATTCTAAGCTCCATAGTGCCCCATCTGGCCACACATAACACTGATACGACTGTCAATGTTGCTGCTAGACATGGTTTAATTTTCATCATTGCTGTTTTTTTCTCAAGGTCTTCAAATGAAACATTAACTGTCCTAGCCTGCAGCTACAGGTGACACTTGTTTTCATTCAAATAACACACTTGTGACTTTGTGTAATTAACTAAGCTGTTTATGTAACAATTTTAAATGGTCCATCTCTCTAATACTGCTCCTGTAAATTAAATAAATTATGAATGTTTGATGGATGAGTTAAGCAGTAAAATTGTTAATAGTGGGAAAGCAGCATGGTTTGATGGAATTACAACCAAGATGCTGACAGCATAGTTAGTGTGATGTGTGTATATGAAACCAGGTAAGGTACTGTCCAAGGGGTGGAAAAGTGCATATACAGGAGAGCACCAACTTTAACAGCCAAGTTCTTGTTTTTTCAAATTACAAATGGATTTTCATTTAAAAAAAAAAATAGCGTGGTTATGTTTTGCACATTTGTACTGTGGTTCATGAGATGTAAGATGTTAATTGTTCTGTAAGTGCTCCATTTGTAAGTGTGGGTGTGTGTAAGTTGAGAACCTGTGTAGTTCTTTTATACAAAGGAAAGATAAATTATAAGTGAATGTGAGAGATACTTAAGGTAAAGTGAATAGAAGAATTGTATACAAATTGCACAGAAACCAGCTGGATTTGTGAAGAGAAGAGAGAAGAGGATGTATGGCTCACTTGTTTGTATTGATGGAAATAAGTGAGAAATACTTTTATAAGGGAAAGGAATGGTCTTTCTAATTTATGGGTTTTGAAAAGTGAGGCTCAGGAAATTGACAAGCATTGCAAATGTATAGAGTAAGTGCCATATTTGGGAAAACTGCCAGACATTTTGAGGAAATTTTGTATTAAAGAAGGATAAGTGTTTCCAGTAAGAGTAAGTCTTTCACAAGGGTATGTGATGTGCCTCGCTGTTAAATATGTTTGGGATTGTAAGCAGAGTGAAGGGGGAAGGAGGGGAAGCATTTTGATGTTGCTGATGAAGGGCTCTTCCTCTGAGGAATTGGAGCTACCTTTCCCTTCCTCAGTATGAATCTGATTATCTTCAAAGCACTGTATGTATAACCTTTATGGGTTTAGTGCTTACTAATGAAAATAAAAATAAGGATAGTCTTTAGGAAAGGTTCTAACTGATAAGGAATTTTTCTGTTGTGGCTCTTCACAACTACTGTTTGTAGGTGAATGTTACTAAGTGATATGGAGGAAAATCTTTTAACTGCAGAGATTGGAAAAGGAGTTAGGAAGGATGTAAATAGTTGAAAATGAATATTGTTCAGAAAAAGTGAGGTTGAGGGAATAAGTACAAGAATAGAAATGGAAAAAAAAAGATTTATGGAAGTAAATGTATTTTGGTATTTGGATGTAGATGTATCTTTACATAGCATAGTATTTTAAAGCTGTATATGTGAAGACAGTCTACAGAGTTGAAGGTAGTAAAATAGCGTCAGCACACTTCAAACCCATAGAATGTAGGGAAAATAAAAATTGACATATAAGCTAATCTTTTGCATATAAGACAAGGCTTTGCTTTATTCCACCACATTATTATGTACATATAAATTGATGTTTTACCTTGAACTCTTACCTCTAACTCATTAATTTAACTCAGCAGGTAAGAGATCTTTGGTTTGTTTCTTCATGCCAAAGGTAAGATCTGCTATCACATTAACTGCAAGTTTTAACATGCTAAGTGTTGTGCTCTTATTTACTTGTCTAGTGCAACTGACACCATTCTCATTTTGATATCTTTGCCTTTCTTCCCCTGGTTTGCATGGCAGAATCCTGGCTATATGAAGAAAAACTTTATCATTAGCATTGAGACACTTCATGTTGCTGACATGGGAACAATGGAGAATGTAAGTTTTTTTTTTTTTTTTATCGATTTTTTTTTTTAGGGCTCATGGTAACTTCTGCAATTCATTCTTTGTTAGCTTCTTATTGATGTTAACTAGGTTCATCTTTACTAAGTATTCCCTATAAAGTATCTATATATGTACTAAGAAGTTTGCCATTGGATGAAAAAATGAAAAATAGTTGTTTAAAATTTTATGTGTATTGAATGTGGTGATAATGCTTTTTGTGTATGCTGCATTGAGTTTAAAATGCTTTAACAGGAACTGCAAATGTCTCAGATCAGTGCTGTGTGAAGGTTATAATAAGGATTGAAAATGAAAGTCTTTTCAAGAATGAAGGTAAAAGTCAGAGCATAAGGAGTTAAGATGGTTTGGTCATTAAAAAAGAATAAAGGAAGGTATTAAAGAAGCTGTGTAAACTTGCAGTGAATAGAAAGGCATATAAAGAATGAGGAAGGAATGTATGATGGATATGAGAAGTATTTAAGTTATGCCAAGTAAATTCTGTTAAATTTTGTTATTAACCCTTTCAGGGTTTCGGCCATACTAGTACGGCTTACGCACCAGGGTCCATGACGTACTAGTGTACTCATTAGTTCTAGCGCCTTCAAATCTAGTGAGAGAAAGCTGGTAGGCCTACATATGAAAGAATGGGTCTATGTGGTCAGTGTGCACAGTATAAAAAAAAATCGTGCAGCACACAGTGCGTAATGAGAAAAAAAAAACTTTGACCGTGTTTTTGGATTAAAACAGCGACTTTGCGTTATATTTTCGTATGGTATTTATTGTTGTATTCTAGTTTTCCTGGTCTCATTGTATAGAATGGAAGACATATTACAGAAATTTATATGACTTTGACTGGTTTTACAATGAAAAGTACCTTGAAATTGAGCTCAAAGTAGCAGAAATGTTCGATTTTTACCAAAGTTCAAAAGTAAACAAATCATGCTAAGTGTCCAATACACATCAACTGGTGAGTCTAATATTCTTTCACAAGTGCGCCGATATTATTTATAACATTTCTACACTAATGCAGTAGTCTGCATAACAGTAAATCTTCTAGTTTTTGTGAGAATAAAAATTCAAAGTGGAAAGCAAAAGAAATGTAAGAGGGGCCTGGGGACATGACTAATGAACAGAGGAAATGTTATTTTAGTGCCAGGAATGTCTTTCTTGTTTTTTCTGGACCCTATTTGGAAATTGGCATCTTTTGAAATTTGTGTGAAATTGGCAAAATTGCTAAATTCTGACCACTGTATTGGATAGTTGAAATCGGTAAATTGGTGGTTTCTTGTACTCATTCGATAGAAAAAATGGAGTTCTAGCGAAATAGTTATGATTTTTATCGACAAGTACATTGGAATTGGCCGAAAATAGGGCTCAAAGTGAGCAAAATCACCAATGCTTAAACATCGTCGAGACCGCTAAATTCATGAGAGCATAATTCCGTACGTTTTCCATCAAATTTCATACTTTTGGTGTCATTATGATCAGAAAAAGATTCTCTATCATTTCATAAGAATTTTTTTTTTTGAAATTTGGGGGACCCTGAGAACAAGTCTCTGAGTGGGTCTGTGGACCCTGAAAGGGTTAAAATGGTTATGGGATGTTTTCAATAGTTATACCAGCTTTCTTGGTGTTCTTTGCTTGATACTGTATGAATGTATGAATAAAATATTGTTCTATTACAGTTAGGCATTAGTTAAAAACATTGTCCCGTTGCAAATTTTTTTATTATCTTTAAAAATTTGTCATGGAATTATCATACAAGTTTATTAAGTACTACTATATTGTTCATGTAAATAAACAAGTAAATATACATTGTTCATGTATATTTATTTGTGCTAATTGTTTATTTGTGATATATCAGCTAGTTATTTCTAATTGTGAGGAAAATTGTATAGGTGCATTTGGTCTTGACATTTCACATTTTAGTCAAATTCCAGTGGGCTTGTCATAGTCTCATTCCTAAGAAGTAGGCACTTGCTCTGGATTACCAGTCTTTAAAACAGGAAGCTGGTTGCTCTGTAGCCCTCTTTTTTTTATTTTTTCCTTGTTACCCAAGTGTTTCAGGAACTCTTGTACACACTATATTATCCAAGGGTCTCAGTGCCTATTGGATAAAGCTGTGATAACTCATGGGGCCTATATTTAACCCTTTCATTGTCTCGTATGTAGATCTATGCTATTGACACCAGTGTCACTTGCATGGGTGTACATCTTAAGCACAGCACTCTCAAGTATGCTGTGAGCAGTAAATTTTGACATAGACATGAGAGAATAGGTTTGTGGATGAGTGTTCATGGTATGAAAAAAAAAATCCTGCCCCATGCAGAGCATGATGGGAAAAGCAAATCTGTCCTTGTTTGGTTTAAAATAGCAATCTTGAAGTTTTTTCTTAAATGGTTCTCACAGTTTTATTGGTTATTTCCTGGTATCATTTGATAGTGGAAGGTATCTACTGCAATAGAGGTGACTGGTTGGTTTTAGGCCCAAAAGCAGCTTGAAATAGGTTTTTACTAGATCAGCTAAAATTATTGGGACACCTTAACCATGACCAATCATTCCTGGTTATGTATTTTATTTTCTGAGAAATAGGATAAAATTTCGATGATTTTTTTTGTGTGTGATGGTGGATTCAAAATGGAGGGCAAGTGTAATATATAGGAGAGACCTGGAGACATTATTACTGAACTGAGGATAGCTTGCTTTAGTTGCTGGAATATATTATACAGTATTTACTTTATCTGTTTAAATTGGAATTGTTACATAAAATTACTGATTTCTGGTAGCAGAATGGGAAGTTTCTCATGCTCAGTTGATAGAATGGAAGGTGTACTACCAAAATAACTATGAATTTGGTCAAATTAATTAATGGAATTGGCTTAAAGTAGGACTCAGTGAGTGAAATTACCTATGCTTAAATCACATCCAGACTGCCAGCTTTTAATTAATGATTGGATTATCCCAGTGGAACCTGGTCTTCAGGATGACAGAAGGAACTGGTCTGCTTGACAAGGAAGGCTGCACCAACAATAATTAACTTTCTTCTTCAGTGAACTTGGGCTTTTGAACTTCAATCCTTATCTCCTAGATGCTCTAGAGTATCTCCCTCACATAAGTATAAATCCAGTACATGAATTTAGAAATTCAAGTAATGTTGTCTATTTTTGCCTTAACCCTTTGAGGGTCGACAGGCCCTCTCCGAGACTCGTTCTCAGGGTCGGCCAAATTTAACCCTTAAACGGTCCAAACAGATCGACGTTCAAATTCGTAGTGCTACAAAAGTAGATCTACTTTTTTTTACATATTTTCAAATATAACCAAAAAAAAATGTACATAAAAATTTTTTTTACACATTTTCAAATGTAAAACAAAAAAAAGGTCTACATTTTTTACATACTTTCAGATGTTGAAAAAACGTATATATACGTTTGGACCATTTAAGGGTTAAAAAAAAAATAATTTTTTCTTATGAAAAGATAGAGAATCTTTTCCCGATCATAATGACACCAAAAATATGAAATTTGATGGAAAACTTACGGAATTATGCTCTCGCGAAGTTAGCGGTCTCGGCGATGTTTACGGATCGGCGATTTTGCCCACTTTGAGCCCCATTTTCGGCCAGTTCCACTGTACTAGTCGACAAAAGATATGAATATTTTGCTAGAACTCCATTTTTTTTCTATTGAATGAGTGCAAGAAACCACCCATTTACCAATTTCAACTATCCAGTACAGTGGTCAGAATTTAGCAATTTTGCCAATTTCACACAAATTTCAAAAGATGCCAATTTCCGAATAGGGTCCAGAACAAACAAGAAATACATTCCTGGCACTAAAATGACATTTCCTCTGTTCATTAGTCACGTCTCAAGGCCCCTCTTACATTCTTTTGCTTTCCACTTTGAATTTTTATTCTCACAAAAAATAGAAGATTTACTGTTATGCAGACTACCGCATTATTGTAAAAAATGGTATGAATCATATTGGCGCACTTGCAAAAGAATATTAGACTCGCCAATTGACGTTTATTGGACGCTTGGCATGATTTGTTTACAGTGGACCCCCGCATAGCGACCTTAATCCGTGCAAGAGGGCTGGCTGTTATGCGAAATGTTCGGTATGTGAATGAATTTTCCCCATAAGAAATAATGGAAATCAAATTAATCCGTGCAAGACACCCAAAAGTATGAAAAAAAAATTTTTACCACATGAAATATACATTTTCCTACACACAAAGAGAAGGATACATGCACAATAGTAGAGTAGTACATGCACAATATATATTGTGCATGTACTACTCTACTAAATGAAGAATAAATGACACTTACCTTTATTGAAGATGCAGCAATGACTGATGAGACACTGTGTCCTGGGAGTGCCTTTTCCTCCTGAGTACTGTAGGTCCTGTTTGGTATTTTCTTCCAGAACAGGCCTTATCACACTGTGTATGCCACTACGATTCTTAAATCTCTCAAACCAACCTTTGCTGGCTCTAAATTCACCAATATGAGCACTAGTTCCAGGCATTTTCCCTGTTCACCTGGGTGTTAGTCGACTGGTGTGGGTTGCATCCTGGGAGACGAGATTAAGGACCCCAATGGAAATAAGTTAGACAGTCTTCGATGATGCACTGACTTTTTTGGGTTATCCTGGGTGGCAAATCCTCTGGGGTTAATTGTTTCTTGGTATTCTCAATAAGCCACACCAACAACGGTGGTACAGCAGCAGCAGCAGCTGACGGTGGTACAGCAGCAACAGACGATGCTACAGCAGCAACAGACGATGCTACAGCAGCAACAGACGATGCTACAGCAGCAGCAGACGATGCTACAGCAGCAACTGACGATGTTACAGCAGCAGCAGCAGCAGACGATGCTACAGCAGCAGCAGCAGCTGACGGTGGTACAGCAGCAACAGACGATGCTACAGAAGCAACAGACGATGCTACAGCAGCAGCAGACGATGCTACAGCAGCAGCAGCAGCAGACGATGCTACAG